CCCTCACTGGTGGCGCAGTAGGTTAAAGCTCAGCACTATGAAGCCAGCAGGAGCTGCTTCAGCATGATCTCTGGCCAGGGAGCTGACCCACATGGCACTGCAGATGTCTCCTGTCTTGCCCACTGCTCTCCTCAGCAGTGTTCGTTAGTTGGCCTGTTCTGCTCCCCACTCTGTCTCTGGTGAATCCTCTCACCGGCCCTATACCTCTGGCCTATACCCCAGTTGTATGCATAAATAAATCTTTAAAAAAAAAAAAAGTATATGGAGACAATGTACTTTCCCATCTTTGTTAATTATTGGCCTTTCAAGTCTCCCATTTATTGAAGATTGCTTTGGTTACATTCATGTGTGAATGTTTCCATCAGAACATCATCTATTTCATTGAATAGCGAATTAATTAGCCTAGCTACATAGAGGACTTTCTTATAATGTGCATTTTGTATCCTTTTTCATTTTTAATTTGCATGTTTTTCTTTTCCCTGGCAATTTTATTACATATTACATTATGAATGTAATGGCCAATTTTCCTGTTTTTAAGTTCAGCAATTTCTGCTTTAATATTTTTCTTTCATCTGGGTTTTCCTAGCACATTGTTATTTTTAATTTTAATTAGTCAAGTATTTAATTCACATCTTTTGATTCTTTATTATTAAATAACCAAAGCAATTACGTTTCTAATTTTCTTTATTCTATCCAGAAGTTTTAATTTGTGATGCTACATTATTATTCATCTCTAAATAGAGGATGACTGGATACAAAATTTTTGTTAATATGCTTTTTTCTGACCTTCTAAGAGGTAATCTCCTTTTATTAACATACTTTAAATTTGAAACTGTATAATCTTTAAAATTCAAAATTTGTGTATATTTACTGCTGTTTCTTGTCCCTCTCTCCCCTCTTCCCAAGAAAAGCTTTTTCACTTATTAGCTACAGGGTTTCAGATACATCTGGACACTTATTTCTATCCTATCAAGTGTCAGGTGCTATTCTGAGAGCTGGGAGTACAAGCGTTAACTAGGCGTATATTTTAGATACATAAACTAGAAAAAAATACATAGGACAATTTTAGCTAATGATATTGTTATTCAGACAGTAAAGAAGAAAGAAGATGTTTGGAATGTGGTGGAAGTGTTTTAGATGTAATTGTCAGGGAAACTTCTGCTAACTTCCAGATCCCAGATCATACTGGTACTTAGCTGAAATTCTCTTCTGAGTCATTTGGTACAATTCATCTCCTCTTTATATTGTTGCCTCCTTTGCTTTTGTGTAAGATAGTGGCTTCACTATCATCTGGTCTCCTCCCCACTCTCTTTCCTCCCCCTTTCAGACTTCATTGCCCGTACATCTTCTCTGACCACACATTACCTTGTTGACAGCTCAACCATCTGTCCAGACAACTGGTAAGAAGAGCTCAAATTTGACTCCCTTTATTGAAAGCTCTTGTCCATAACATACTTATATTCAGACTTTTGGAAGTAGGATGGCAACATAGGCCAAGGATACCATGTTTAAGTCAACGAGTTATGGTAGCATCCCAAAAGACAGGGGAGAGCTTCTTTAAGGCTAGGGTACAGGTCCAGGTCCATATGTTGGCTCCATAACATATGACTCAACACCATGAATACTGTTTCAAGAAAGCGCTAAGCAAAAGGAATAAGGAAATGCTATACGGACTGAAAGGTACTCAATACAGTGCTAGAAAGCAAACATAATCCCTACTGTTAAAAGAGTTTACATGATAGTTCAGACTCATGTAGGAATAAGAAAACACTATAAAATGGCAAATAACCCCCACCCCTTCACACACAGCATATAGTGGGATATAAAAGTCATGAAAGGAAGCGCTTGAAGTGAGGAACTTCTTAGTGAGAGAAGACACTAAGGGAGGAAGAACTTGAACCAAGCTCTAAATAACGTTAAGAGCCCATGGTTAGGCAGTGTGACAGAATGGATTCTGGATCTAACAGGCACAATGCAGGATACTGGACACATCTTATAAGTGTAAGGCCCTGTTTCTAAACTAAGTAGACTAAGTTTTACCAAAAATGCAACTCTGGATTAAGGAATAAAGAGTTTAAAGAAATCTTTCTCAAGAGGACTGTGAAGAGGGTCAAAGTTCTTTTCCTCTTCTTTTATCTCAAGAAAAAGAACAAAAAAATTGGGGTAGGAACAAAGGCTAAATAAAGATGGTGCAATCTGTTTAGATTCAATCTCTAGTTTGTTGCTCTGTTCTAGGACTTAGGGAAGATGAATAGAAATTTGATATTGTTCTCGCCCTCCCTGGTGGCACAATGGGTTAAAGCATAGCACTTAAGAGCCATATCCGCTTCATGCAAGTTCGATCCCCAGCCCCAGGGTGATCCACATGGCGTGGCAGACCTCTCCTGACCTGGCTGCTGCTCCCCTCAGCAGTGTACTTTGTTGATCGTCCTGCTCTGCTCCCCACTGTGTCTCTGGTGAATCCTCTCACTGCCCCTGCATCTCTGGCCTATACCACAATTCTGTATGCATAAATAAATGAAATCTTTAAAAAAAAAAAAAAATCTGATATGGTTCTTCTGATTCTTAGTTTCTGGCTCAGACCATCAAGGCAGGCCAGAAAAGGTATTTGGAGTTGGGGCCCAGCTAATTAGAAGAATATGAACCTGCCAGAAAAGTTCTTTAGCTAGAAGCTGGATAGGGTAGAGGTCTACAGGCTGACAAGATGGCTCCTCAACCCTACTAGTTCAAGAGATACAATAAATACCTTCAATCTATAGTATCTTTTAATTCTCATAGCTGTATATGGATTCATTCTGCTCTTATTTGAAGTAGGCATATTAGATGGACCCCACTTAAAGAAATTTGAGAATTCAAGGAGCAAAGACTTAAATATTCAACCTGACATTTTCTTGAGAGGATGATGTTCCAATGGTCCTAATCCAAACACGTCTTCTCATTGCCCCAAGTGAAGCTCCTCATAAAAAGAAATGAGCCCTGCCTTAAGAAGTCCCATTTTGAACTAACAGGTTTGAAAGATTCTTGGACAAATTGTTCTCTAAACCCAACACTGAGACAGGGAGTTTGGCTGGTGGGGGAGTGTCAGGAGGCACAATACCAACAATTGACAAACTGTTTTCTAGGGAACAAGGTCTAGTGGTTTGGTCCTAAGACTGTTCTCAAAATCCATGTGAAACAGACCAGGAGTCACTATACCTTTATCATTCAAGTCTGACTCTCAACCGTCTCCTTCCACTTAAACTCCTCTTCTCCTTCCACTGGGGCAACTGAAATCCAGAAGTGATAATATGTTTCATGATTTCAAATTCTGGGATGCCAAAATGAAAGAAGAAACACTTGCCTCTCAAACAACAAATACCTCTACAAATTAGCCCCACTAGAGAGTATCTCTCAATGCTGCCTTCAGGGTCTAGAACGTGAGAGAGCACTATAAAGATTTAATGGTTTTGGGGCCCTTCTTGGTGGCACAATGGGTTAAAGTGCAGCACTACAAAACTAGCTGCAGTCCCTTCAACACGAGTTCGATCCCCGGGACAGAGAGGTGACCCATGTGTTTTAACAGACTTCTCCTGTCTTGCCCGCTGCTCCCTTCAGTAATATAGTTCATCAATCTGCCTGTTCTGCTCCACATTCTGTCTCTTGTGAATCCTCTCACTCCCCTGCACCTCTGGCCTTTACCCCAGTTCCATATGCATAAATAAATAAATCTTTAAAAAAATGGCTTAATGGTTTCTGCATTCTCTTTGGTTGCACTTAAATGGGCATAGATGAAAGTAATGAGAAAAATGCAGCCCTGCCCTAGCCCTCAGCCAAGGAGTATCACCATTCTCTACACCTAGACATGGTACTTTGAAAGATCTGTGCTGGTCCTCCCGGTGGTGCAGTGGTTTAACACACAGCATTAAGAAGCTAAAGCCACTTCTGCATGAGTTCGATCCCTACCTGCCCCAGAGGTGGCCACATGGTGCGGCAGACTCTCCTGACCCGCCCGCTGCTCCCCTCAGCAGAGTACTTTAGTCGGCCTGTTCTGCTCTGCACTCTGTCTCTGGTGAATCCTCTCACCGTCCCTGCATCTCTGGCCTGTACCTCAGTTCTGTATGCACAAATAAAATAAATCTTAAAAAAAAAAAGAAAGAAAGTAAGATCTGTGCCTCTGAAGCCAGTGGGATGCAGCCAATGGTGCCCTTTCTCTCCCCACTCAGCCTAGCAGGTAAGCATGTACTTGAGTAGCTCTGGAGAGCTACCTTACCAAACTGCAGAGTAAAATTTTTCTGACATCTTAGGAGTTAAGAACTCAAAAGAAAAATATAGAGACTTGGCTTTTTCAAGAAAAGTTCATGGGCTAGTAACTCAAACAATAAAGATTGAATATATTCAACATAAATCTAAAAATGAAGCAAAACTTCATACATTTATAGATTTCTCCCTCCCCCCATAAAATTTTGATATAAAATCACCCTCCTCTTATTCAAGGCATTACTCTCCTGATCTCAGTGCCATAAACAATACCATTATTTGTAGGCCACATTAGAACACTAGGCTCAGTTCATGGAAAAGAAAACACCAAAGCAGTTGCAGCTTCAAACACCTTCTTAGATTTGCTTAAGTCAGAGAAGCCAATACAATAAAATTAGTAGGGTGTGGTGGCAGCTAGGGGCTGTAATGATTTATCTGGAATGTAACCTGGCACTTCAAATAAAGACTCTATTTTGTTCAGCTGAAAGTTTTCAGGACCTAAGGAGGAAGTGAATGGAATGACCCAATTGAGACTGCACCAAAGTAACAGAGATGCCTTCACACCTCGGGGAGACAGCGACAGACAAAAAACATTAGACAATTAAAAGTGAACTGGGACACAGTTCAATGTCAGTACCTCTCCAGTTCCATTATCTCCTCACCTTTCTCCAAACAACCATACCTTTTAGCTAGCCTGTTTAGACAATCCCTGCTCAAACAGATCACACACACACACACATACACACACACAAATAAGTAATAAATAAGTTACTTTAAATTTTATTGTAGAAGAAAAAATATCTTAAAAGATTTGTTAAATAATAATTCCTGACAAGCTCATTCTTCAGGGTTTTCAAGTGTTGCCTTCTGGTTAGATATAAGTGTTCCTCACCCTTGTAATAAATAAGCTACATTAATATTGGCATCAACCACAGGAAAACCCAAAGATTTTCTAAATGGCTTCCAAATTTCTGCATAGATTCCCTTACTTAGTTCAAAGGTAAACAAACAAGTTGGGAGAGAAATTAGGACAGCTGAGAGGAAAAACATGTTAACACAGGTGATTCTAGAATGGAGGGTTAAGAGTGTTCACTTATACCACTCTTTCAATTTATTTTTTTAATTATAGGCACACTTGAAAAGTTACTGTAGTGTGATGATGCTATTTCTGAGACTTGCCTAAAAAATATATTCAATTATTTCTTTTTAAACCAGAAACAGAAAAATCAGTACTCCCCCAGGGTGATACTCACTTTCTAGTCTGTGTAAAAAAGTTTCCAGAGCTCTCTGGAATGTTTAAGTTAAGGGGCTACAGTACACTGATATGGTTTTATAGTTCTTGGAGTCAAACTCTCATCGAAGGTCTGTGATGGTCACTGCTCTCTCCACAACAGTCACGTGGCTGCAGCTCTGTAATAGAAAAAAGAAAGAAAGGGAGAATTCCACATTTAAAGAAACCCTTTCTTTAAAATGCTCAACCTGAAAAAAATAAAGCTCCTTCTGGCAAGTAGTTCCTAGCCTAGAAGCCAGACTGCTCTTAAATGGCATTATTGCAGGGGCCTGGGACTCATTACTTCCACAAATCCCTAAGTGTAGCCTGAAGCAACATCAGTCTACATAGCTTAATTTTGCAAATATATTATATCACAGCATGATTCATAAAATGTACATTTATTTAGAAGAACTGCTGCCTTCATTACAGCTTTTGGGGTTATTATGTCAACCAGATAGTAAAATATACTTCTCACATGGGAATGCTCACTCTGGGCATGAAAAGGGGACTATACCACTGAAAACTTGGGCATTTGGGGGAATTGTGCATTGTTTCAACATTCTGGCCCTTAGACATTTATTACATTCTAACGACTAACTTATCTTTGAACAGATCTGTCAGAAAGTTCTTTCCCACATTCAGCGGAAAATTGTTACTCTCTGAGTCTGAGTTTTAGTCTCATGAAATATACCCCACACCCTTGTATGCAACCATCCTTAAAGTCAGTTCTCAGATTCTCCCTGATTCTCAGATTTCTCTTCTAATTCTTAGATTTACATTAGATTTAAGGGGCACACTGAGACATACTTATCAGTCACTGAAACTTTTTAGTTTTATTTGGGAAAAACAACTTCTCAAGGTCATAAAATATTATTTAAGCAGAATTCAAGAATCAAATATACTTTATCTATCTTAAGTGGCTTTGAATTCAAACCTCTTACCGAAGCAAAGGCTTGGTAAATGGATATTGATGAAGAAAACTAACATGTAACAATCCAGCTACTATACATTATTTCGTTTAATTCTTTCAATAACCCTATAAAGTAGGTATTATTATTGCTTACTTTAAAAAAAAAATTGTCAACCCCCATTTACAGATGAGAAAGTTGAGGTTTAGAATTGTTAAGTAAAGCAGAGTCATTAAAAGGCTAGGCTGTGACTTTAATTCATTCCTATCCTATACTGCTTCCCATATATATCCTTATTAGGAAGATTTGAAAAGGTAACCCACAAGTTTCATCTTCTAGGCTGACATGGCACTTCTTCAGTTCTGACTGTTCTCCCTGTTTAAGACAGCCCTGATTTCCTCTACATAGATACATACACAGAAAAGAGGTGGATCCTTGCTGTGTGGATGAAATCCTTTCTGGCGACAGGAAGAAATCTCCTCTAGTCCATGGTCAGTTAGTTTAAAGAAACCAGTTCTGAAAGAAGAAAAGGCAGGTCTAGAATCAAGCAAAGGTATCCCCCCTACCAACCCTTGACACACACACCAGGGGAGAGTTCATTCTGAGACAGCTTCATAAGTATGCTAGCTCATAGGTTTTCACTTAGTGAATGAATTGGATTAGAGAGAATCATTAGAGAATGAGTCACCTTTGCCACACTAGTTTTGCTGGGAGAATTCATAATAGATAACAGGATTTGGAATGAAAAAGAACTCTGAGACAATTAATTTTCAAAGTCTCTAACCTGTCACCAACTTACTGAAATTCCTACTGCTTCAAGTCAAACATTTTAAATTTTTTATGTCCCTTCCTTAGAGAACACCTAAGTCATGGCTTAGATATATTTCTAAACAAGCACAGGATATGGGGCTTAAAAGGAAGCCTTAGAGAACAGCAAATTAATACCAGCAATTTGTATATTTATAGAGCGACAGGTCTTAGGAATATAGATCTTTTCCTATGAAGTTCCTCCCTGCAACTATCTCCTTGTAACCCCTACAACCACTTCCCATGTACTTACTCGTGAAACTTGGGGGAACAAACAATGGCTATGGACTCTGGCAACATCATCTGGTAGGAGCAGTGAGTGTGCAGGTCAACACTGGAGAGAAAGGCAGTCTGTGTGGGATGAGTCTAGAAGAGAAAGAAAGTCAAAGACCCCTTTGTGAGGGATCACAGACAGGCCTAGCCCACAAAGGGAGACAGGCCTAGCCCACAAATAGTTCTCAACAGCTAGTTACAACCTCCTTCTCAAAAACAAAGTCATTTTAAGCCATGTGGAGTGTGCCAGAAGTTCACAATAACTAGTGAACTTTCCTTCCAGTATTATTTTAATAAGTATAGTTTACATGAGTAAATGCAAAGACATATAATTTCTATTGACCAAGACTTGATGACTCCTTGCAAGCTGTCTTTATGCAATGGGGAGTCACCCATTCTGGTGTAGATGGCACATGCTGATGGTATAATACTTCAATATGGTAGAAGACAAGGACTTAACAAACCACAGTTGTATGAATGGCTCTTCTGGCTGACAGAGATGTTAAAACATCAGCCATGAGGCTGGAGTGCCATAGCAGAAAGCTCTATCAGCAAATGGTAAAACCTGTCCTATGGTTAAAACATGTCACCTGAAGATATAAGAGGCAGAAGGCAAGTGAGATTTCGGTGGGCAGTTAAGTCACACAATGGACCCTGTCTTGTTTGGGAAATATTGAAGATATTTAAATTTGAGGATAAATAGCTAAGCACCATCTAAATGTGCATTCAGCTCATCTAATTTGTTTCCAATTATTCTGTGTTTTATTGAGCATGTTATTTGTACACAAATATGCAACTACATAATGACTCATGTTCATTTTAAAGGGGGGTATGATCTTAGGTAACATGAGCAGGAAACAAATGACCGAAACCTAAAACAAAAGACCAACCTCACTGACAGAAAAGCAGAGAAAATATATAAATACACTTAGTGTTTTTAAGCCTGCTGTATTAAAAAAAAAAAAAAAAGCTCCTGAGGAGTTTATCAAAAGCATGGTCTTTAGTGGCCTAGTCCCAGAAATAGCAATGTGGAGAGGGCATTTTCTTTTTCTTCTTTTTTAAGTGGACTAACTGATTCTTCTGTGCAGCTTTATCTGTGAAGCACCCCTCTACAAATGCTGTAACCAGTTCACTGGGGAGAGGTCTACAACCTAGGGACACATCAGCCATGGGCTAGCAGCACATACAGGCATATGGGCCATGTAGGAACCCTGGTGACATTTAGGGAAAAGGAGTTTCTACTTGATCATAATATGATCCTATAGACTACTAGGGAGTAAAGACTTATACAAATACTCTTCACCTCATGGTTCCTGCTGAGAATTCCAACTAGGAAAACAAGGGGCCTATACAAATCCATCAAGGCCTCTGATCTCAAGTTGGGTCAGCTAGAAAAACTTAACAGAGGCACACAGCAGGAGCTCAATAAATAATTGTTAAAGTGAATAAAAAATTTCCCTTGAGCCTCTTCTCCCTTATAACCTCAACCCTTCACAGTTGAGGGCTTTAAAATGGTTATGTCCACTATGGCCAGAGGTGAGAGAAAGGTATTTTTATGAAGACAAAACAATACACTAAGGGAGTGAGTGAAAAGGAGCAAGGAGAGTGAATGCTGAAGGCAGCCTGGTGCACCTGGGCAGGGGCAGAGTGGCCACAGGAAACATGATGTAGAAAGAATTTATCTGTTTATATTCTCCGTTACTAATTTTAAGATCTGAGCAAATTTTATGATCTGTTTCTTTTTTTCCTTTCAGCTAGGACATAAAAGGGGTGATTACTATTACATTCTATCAAAACTGAGAACAGAACTAGTCCAGAATGTCACAGATCCAGGTTGAGGGGGTAGAGCGTTTGACAGCAGGGCTGGGTTGAAGAATCAAAGAATGTTTTGGTGTCAGCAAGGTAGAACTCTCAAAAGTGGTGACAGCGATCTGACGGTAATGAATGTTCTAGATGCACTGAGACAACTTCTAGATTGAGCACAGCCTAACAATCTGTACCAGCACCCTGGCCTCCAGCTTTTCTTATTTCTGCTCCTGTGGGTTCCATAGGTGCACAGCTGTCATTCTACTTGGACCTCTGCCTCATATTTCTTCTTTTGTGCTTCAGCCTATGTATTTGCTTCTTCCATTTGGCTCTTTAGGCGCAGAGGCTTCTAAAAAAATGGTGTTACAGTTGCGAGCATAGCCTACTTTTTATTTGTTTTTAATCCCAATGCAGGATCAAACAGTACAGAAATATAAAGAGAAAATAGCTAAAGTACTATCAATTCAGGCTCGAAATTTGTTCTAAACTGGCCTTTGCTTATGTTAGTAACTAAATTCGACCTGAGATCTAAACAGTAACTATTCCAAGCTTCCCCAGTCTCCATCAGTTCCTGTCTCCCTCCTATTGGGCAGTGAATCTAGACTCCAATCTTACTGAAATCTAGATCATCTAGAATGAGTTCCCTCAACCTTCCAAATATAATCCAAAAAAACTGTGTCTCTCTCTTCCTTCAATTTTGTCTCAAGGGAATGTGTATTTTTTCCCCCATATGATGATGAACTCCCCAGCCCTGGTACTTTTAATTGGAAACTTTCATACATCCCATTATCTCCTCTTTCCTGCCCTTCTACAGCTCCCCTATGGTGCTCCACTGGCTCTATGGCCATGAAAACCCTTTCCAACAACTACACACAAGAATGTAGATCAACATTAAAATGTTGAGCAAAGATGCCAGGCACAAAAATGCACATATTACATAAGTCTGACTATATGAAGTTCAAAACCAGGCAAAATGAACTACTGAGTTTAGGGATACCTCATAGCAAAACTAGAAAGAATGCAAAGGAGCTCTTGAAAAGTTAGGTGGGACTGCCTGGAGGTACATGTGACTGGGCAGGAGTGTGGTAGTGTGGGGGAAGCATGATGCTGGCAAGGTTCTGTTTCTTGACTATGTTGTGTGCCCATTTAGATATTTGCTTAGTAACTCATTAAGAGTTCTTTAAGTTTATGTACTTCTTATGTATGTATTACTTCAAATATAAAAGTTTGAGAAAACAAAATCAAACATATTCATACTAAACAGTCAAGTGAACATTCTTTTAATGCAGCTATTCCTTAAACCACCATCCCATCTCTTTCCTGTCCTCTAGAGCTAGGCTCTTCAAAGGCTTAGTATACACTGTATTATACCACAACCCCAAACCCCACTATTTCTTAAATCCTTATGATGCACTCCTATCACTACAACTCCTCAATCAAGATCACCAATGACATCATCAAATCCAAGAGGCTGATTCAAGTTACCACTTCAGAGCTCTCTGCAATGTGTGGCATGGTTAACATACTGAAATTTCTTCTTAAAACCTTCCTCTTCCACTGGCTTCTATGCCTCACACTATCCTCTCCTTTCTCTGATATCTCTGCTTTGTTACTGTCTGTATTCTCCTAGGTAGCCTGCTCCCCAAGCTATTGGTAAATATCTTATTATGCTTTTCTCTCCCCCAGTTCCAAAGCTTCCAAGGACAGCTAAATGCTGAGGACTCCCTACCTCTTTCTCACCATAACCTTGCTCCCAAGTTCCAGTCATATTTCAACTTCCTGATAACTACCTCACTGATTTAATGTCTCACCAGTACTTCAAATTCAACATACTCAGACCTGAGCACACCTCTGCCTCACTCCCAAAGGAAGTTCTCCCTGGAGATGTTTGTATTCATGAGATGATCACTGACATCTCCATGAGTCAGGACCCAAATCTCTAAGCATCAATGACTTTGATTCATCTTCCTCTCTTATTTACTTCCCCATAGTCACCTTCTTCCCAGATGCACTACCATCACCTAACTCTCTTAATCATTAGATTTTATCACTACCCTAATGTCTTAAGTGTGGTCTCCCTGCCTCAACCTCCCTAAAATCTCTCTCTAGGGTAAATTTTCTAAATGTGGCTTTGATCATATCACTGGTCTACTAAAATAAACCTTAGGAGTTCTCCAATTACTAAAAAACAGACCTAGTCTGCCTGTCTACCCAAGATCCTCCGGAACACTGCTCAAAAGCCTATCTACCACTGTTTTCTGATATGAACCCTAAACCGCAGCAAACTGGACCACAAGACTCCAGGAACAGTTGGCCTACTCCAAAGTTATCCCCTCCTTATAGGACTCTCCCTTGGCCCATTTTGTCCAAATGATACTAACTGTGAGCCTTCCCCGCTCTGAGTTCCACAGTTTGTACCACTAAAGGCATTTGCATAACTTGCCTCATATGAAGAGTTACTACATGTCTACTCATCCAATCGCTCTTAGGAGACTAAAATCATATCTTATACAAATTTATATCTCTTGGCAGATAAAGAACACATTTTATATCCCCATATACTACAATGGGAGATATACAACAGAAGACAAGTATTTATCTATAACTGGTCTTTAAAAAGTCACATGGGATTGCCTCATAGGTCAGTACTTCCCAAATTCTACCATGCAAATTTGTGTCACCTTCCCAAACCAGAAATGAGCTGACCTTTTTGTAGGTAACCCTGTCACACAACATGAAAGCAGCTTGGTCTGTAAGTGCGGGGATGAAGAACAGAAATAATCTTCAGGAATGAAATTATATTTTACCTATACATTACCAGAAAGTCACATAAACACTTAAAAATCACCTGTATTAGCAGCCCTTTGGTTTGAATTAAGGTGTATCCTGCTTTAATAAAGGCCAAATGCAAGCATCTTAACAGCTTTGGTTTATTTAAAATATTTTGTACCTTTTAGGGACAGTTCTATAACAATGTCCACATATTGTGCAGGCTGGCAACCCATCACTATTCATATTCACAGGGAAATTAGGACATTAGGGAAATAAGTTTGTTTTTATTAAAAGAAAAATTAGAAAGCACAAGTACTTCTCAGAAATCAATACTGGAGTGCAAGAAGTCAAATAAGCCAGGCAAGTCAAGCATGCATTCAATGGTAGGAAAAACAATTATGTAAATAATCTGGGTATGATTCACTTTGCTCAGAGTCAGAGAGAGCACTGAGTGGAATACATCATGAAAGAAGAGGAGGCTAGCCCTCTGAGAGCAAGTCACTTACATGAATCCAGCCCAGTGTGATGAGGCCCTGTTGATCCTGTATGAGGAAAAGTTCTTCTTCATTTTCGGTGTTACAATAGTCAGATCCACCACTTTGCTTGGGGATGAGGACGTGGGTAATGGTAAATTCATTCCTCATCTGTCAAAAGAGAAAACAGCTTGTGATAATTCCCTGCCACTTATGTAAGCACACCCTATCTTGGTAGTGGAAACTTAAAACCGCAATATAATTGAAGGCCCTTCCTACTTCAAGGGAGTCCTGAGTCATCTGCTACTCCCAGAGTCCCTCACCCCTGTGGTTCCCAACTCTGGCGGCTCATGCAAACTGCCTAGGGCACAATGCAAAGAAGTAGATGCCTACAGCACTGTGGGAATTTCCTGCTGTAGTCAAGCTGGTTCTTGAGAACTTCCTGTTATACCATTTCTTTTCCCCTGCTCTTGTGGAAAATAATTTCCCTCTCACTGTCTCTAAAAGCTATTTTCATCCTTTAAGGCTCAGCTTAAGTCTCCTGTACTTCATTCATTTATTCATTCAGCAATTAGCAATGGCTTCAGTAAATGTCTCCTATTACTCATTATTTAGCATGCTATTTATTTCTTGATGTATATCTCCCATTTCTTCAAGATGCTTTGGTATATGTTTTGTGGGTGCATGCACCATGCTTTACATACTTTATTGTCCCAAGTCCAACCATAAAGCATGTGTTCAGAAAAGGATATACAGGGAATGACTGGATCTTCCCTTTAAATTTAGAATTAGGTATTTCTCACCACTTGCATTCAAATAATCAATTCAATCTAAGGTACTTTGAAAAAGTCAAATACAGGGCTTCCAAATTCAAAATGATACTATTTCCTTCTCTAGAGGGATATGGACAGAGCAAGTAACTCTGAAATTCTCTGAGAGTCACAGGAGATCAAAGGTAAGAAATAGTGTCAGCTCAGGAAAGAATTTGAGTTTTACCAGTTTTCCACAGAGAATGCCACAGGTCTCCACTCCACGGGCAGTGTTGGCACTAGCTAACTGGAGAAACTGAGGGCAGAGCCTCTCAGGCACAACCACATGGCGCAGTCCATCAATTGTAGGAACTGTAATGAAGAAAGGGGGAAGTCTGAGACCAGGGGTGGAGCCTCCCCAAACAGACCTCAGAGTTGCCAGTGCTAGGAGAACAAAGTCAGATCATTGGGGCCCCCCCAACTTCAGGTAGTAAGTGGGAATCTCACCCTAAAGACATTAAGTCTCCTCTCTACCTCTGGCCATAGCCATCAGTGTACATTGTTACAAGGAAAAAGCAAGGTTTAATCATTCAAGTTAAGACAAAGGTAAACTACTATTTAAGAAAGTTTCTAAGCTATTCACTAATGCTCTGTCCCAAACTAATACAAAGGATAAAAATACAACCTCCTCATTTAACTGAACTTTTACTTTTTATACCTTTTATCTCAGATAAGAATTATCAGAGAGTATGTCTTTCAAAGAAATACACCAGCATATATTCTAGATAATAAATAATAATATGGGCAACTACATCTGAACTTATTCTTTCATAAGAAAGTTAAAATACCAAACAAAACAACAAAAAACATATCCTTGGTGTCAAAACCAACATGAATGAACAAAGTACCTCGTGAGTTGCTTCAGAATGCCAAGAACAGACTAGTCCCCTAAATCCAGGCAGGAATCTGGCAAGAGCACCAGCAGACTACCATTAGGGTACGTCTTTCAGGGTCACATTTTCATGGGGGACACAAAAGAGAGAGGGATGTTCTGTTTCTGCACATTCAGCAGCAAGGTCTGAACTGCTGTAGAGGTAACAAAGTTTAGGAGAATGATGTGGACTGGCAGCCTGGTGACCACATCTGATGTTACTGAGTTAAGGTTTGGCACAGACCTCTCCTTCTAACTCAATAATCACTCACCGAGCACAAACCAACTAGACACTGGGCTCAGCCCATCGGCAACACAAATATAGTACAACTCAAGCCCTACAGGAAATTAAACTCAAGTTTACACATAAACTCAAGATACATGTTTTGTGGGCGCATGCACCATGCTTACATATTTTATTGTCCCAAGTCCTACCATAAAGCATGTGACTACACTATCAGGAAAATTATCTCAACTATTTTAGATACTAAGAGCTCCTGAGTCTTAAGGAGAAGAGAACCAATCTGACAAAAGGAGGCAGGGTTTGGGGGAATCTGGAAATTTTTCAAGAAAAGCAGGGAAGACAGAGAAAGATTTTTAGTTCAAGACAAATGTTAACAAAGTTCTTTGGGTAAGCTAGTCCTGGGACTGTCTTGGGAACATGACAGGCCAATCTGACCAAAAGATAGACTATTTAAGAAGGAACAATACAGAGAGACAAGTCTGTCAAGTACAGGTGGAAAAAAATCCTAAAGGTCACGCTTCAGAGTCCAGCGTCTTTGCCACTCTTACAAATTCTTTCACAGGGATCCTCTACAAAGCTGACTCCCTTTAATGACAATTTGAAACCCCAGTCCTACACCTCCACCAGAAAAAAAACCCAACCTATTCTAATGAAGGTATACTCATCATTATTGCTATTACTGTTAGATAACCAATTATGGGCGAGAAAAGGAAACATTGTCTAGTTCTTATGGCTATTATGAATTATCACTAACTACAGCTTTTATCTTGACTAAGCTCCTTCCAGGTTAGGAATACTTCAGGGCAAACACAATTCACAGCTCTCGTTAAATATTTTTGAAAGTGAGCTGTTGAATAGCAAAGTGGTATTATAAATTTCAAATTTCCTTTATAAAGAAAGGCCTTTATAAAAGCAGTCTCTAGTTCACTGAACATTTCGGATCTCTGTATAACCCTTACAAGCTGGGGGTCTCAGTTTCAGGTTATAATTAATATTTCAGAACACTGTTCTGGTCTCAGGTAACCTATATGGCTAAGTATAGGTCACCTTCACAGTACAGCCTGTGTGAGAGGCAGAGGATGGCAATACTGATCAAATGGGTTTCTCTGACCATTGCCCAGTGGGTAGGATCATAGTGGTAATCTTAGGTTGAATCCCCTAGAAAGACACTCTGTTGGGCTGCAGTTGAGATGGGAGGGGGCAGAAGCAAATGGACTTACTACTTTCTGAGTTGCTCAATGCTCCAGGTTTCAAAGATCTGTCCACCACAGGTGGCTTGATCGGCCTCACAGTTGTAGTATTGTCTGAAGGCTGTACGGATGAGGCGTGCACCACGGGGAATGTCTCTGGAGAGGGTTTCTCCAAGTCAGGCACCAGTGGGCCACCTAGGCCAGGGTCCACCTTCCCAAATTCCTGTACAATTTTCAGTCGCTCTTTTTCTAGCTCTTGGTTCCTAATCATCTCCTCGAAGGCATGGAACTGTTCCTGCTCCAACTGCTGCTGCTTCTGTTGGGCTATCCTTTGTTTTTCTTTTTCCAGCTCCTGCTGGATGGCCATGTTCCGGGCAAATTCTTCTGCTTCCTTCTTCTACAAAGCAAGAACAGGAGTTACATTTATGTGTAACACCTAACACTTATGTGACTTCACACCTCAACAGAACACGTCTTTTTAGCAGAGAGATTTTCCAAAATTTACTTCTGCTCTGGATTTATTGCCCAAAACTGAATCCATGATGTCCTGGGTAGCTCTACACACAAGGAATACTGAGCTCTTCATCATGGGATACTCAATAGATATAAGGTGGGACACTGCCATCGTATACCTGTTCAACTACTGGCAAGGTCCCAAGCCTCTCAGCACCCTTCCCATGACACTAATATACTTTACCCAAATTCTGCTGCAATGTATTATTTGTACCTCATTGCCTTTGTATCCTGAGTAAGTCCATAAAACAGAACTAAACCCAAACTTACATCTTCTACGTTGTGGATCTTTACTGCATTTTAACCCAGAATGAAGATTTTGACAATTTTCTGGTAACCAGTTCAACAGAGTAACATCTCAAAAAAATGATTATAAAGTAATAACCTCCATTAAGTTTTTCCCTCACTCAATGCCTTAGAAATATATACTTTATAATTCACCCTCTACTGATTTTTAACATTAGACTCCAGAACAGAACTCAGCAGCCACCCACAAACCAGTGTATATTCACATGTGATGCAGACTAACACTAGAACATTGGGAGTTTTTCCATGTTTCAGACTCTTCCAACAAGACACCACTTAAAAACAGCTACAGAAAAAATCCATTATTCTGATGTTCTTATTCTAGATAAAATAGAAAGACAATATATTTTCTGTCCTTTAAGTCGTCCTTTAGGACAAGCAGGTTAAATCTGTGTTGGAATCCTCTGTATAAACAACTATGTTCTACTTTGAGTTTCTAGTCTTTGCTAAAATAAATAAATAAATAAAAGGTAAAAAACTCATATAAAATAGTGAAATGCCATATTGCAACTCCAGGGCACAGACTAAGAAACTAAAAGTAAGGTTTGATGGGGCTGAGAAAAAAAAAAAAAAGAAACTAAACTAAAAGTAATCTCTCCTTTTTTAAACTGTTGTCTACTCACCTTTTCTTCATTATATTCTGCATATTCTTTGGTATATCGTTTTAACAGTTCTGCCTTTAGCTCTTCTGCTTTAGGAAATGCAATCTCCTTTAATTTCTGAGACCAAAATAAAAAACCAAGAATTAGAACAAGTGTCAGCTAATAAATAAAGAAGTAAAAAGATGACTTCAGCCACGTAGGTCATTGAGAAAGTATTTCCAAAATTGATTTTAAATATCCTAATAAGGCCTCCCTGATAGCCTAGGGGTTAAGTCTAAGTGCTATCACCACTACAGCCTGAAGTTAACCCCAAGCCAGTAACCCACTGGCACAGCAGACCTCTGTCACCCACTGCTTCCCTTAGCAGTGTTTGTTTCAATAAATTTGCCTGTTCTGTCCCCCACTCTATCTCTGGTGAATCCTCTCAGCACCCCTACACCTTTGATTTATATCCCAGCCCTTCTACAGGGAAAAAAAGACCTTGCTGTACCGCACCTACTCCATAATGGATCCTATAAAGAGAACTGTCTCCTACTGCAGCGCTTGATGCCCAGATACACACATTACTATTTTTTTTAATTTTTAAAATAAAGTACATCATCCTTCATTTTTGTACAATGTATGATTTCCCCATGAAATTCCCACCAACAATTCATCCGTACATCATCATGATAGTCCCCTGTGCTCTTCCTATTCCTGCCCTGGCCCTTCTCCCTCCTCCTCCTTATAGAATGTCTCTGATATATAGTTGCCTGATGATTTTGATTTTTACTTTATTATAGTTATTTTTCTGATTTATTACTTGTTTTCTCTGTATTTCTCCTATAAGTAGACCATTCAATATTTTTCTTTTTTTTCTGGCTTATTACACTGAGCATAATCCTTCCAGCTCCATCCATATTGCTGCAAAGGGCATGAGTTTATCCTTTTTGACTGGTGAGTAATATTCCATTGTGTAAATATACCACATCTTCTTGATCCAGTCATCTATTTTGGGGCACTTGGATTGCTTCCATAGCTCACTTATTGTAAATTGTGCTGCAATAAACACAAGGATGCAGGTATCCTTTTGAATTATTGTTTTTGTGTCCTTTGTATAGATTCCTAGGAGTGTAGTTGCTGAATCAGATGGAAGCTCCATTTTTAGTAGTTTGAGGAACCTCCACACAGCTTTCCATAGTAGTTGGACCACCAGCAATGTAGGAGAGTTTCTTTTCCTCCACCTCCTCACGAAAATTTATTGTTGCTATTTTTTAAATATGTGTCATTCTCACTGGTGTAAGGTGGTATCTCATTGTGGTTTTTTTTTTTTTTTTAAAGATTTATTTATTTGTGCATACAGAACTGGGGTACAGGCCAGAGGCTCAGGGGCAGTGAGAGGTTTCACCAGAGACAGAGTGGGGAACAGAACAGGCAGATCGATGAAGTACACTGCTGAGGGGAGCAGTGGGCGGGTCAGGAGAGGTCTGCCAACGCCATGTGGTCACCTCCTGGGCAGGCGGGAATCGAGCTCATGTGGAAGCGGCTTTAGATTCTCAGTGCTGTGCTTTAACCCACTGCGCCACCAGGGAGGGCCCCATTGTGGTTTTTATGTGTATATCCCTGATTATAAGTGATGTTGAACATTTTTTCATATGCCTGTAGGCCATATGCATTTCTTCTTTGTAGAAGTGTTTTTTTTTTAGCTCTTCTGCCTTTTTTTTAAAAAAAGATTTATTTATTTATGCATACATAACTGGGGTACAGGCCAGAGGTGCAGGGGCAGTGATTTACCAGACAGAGAGGGGAGCAGAACAGGCAGATTAACTGAAATAAACTACAGAGGGGAGCAAAAGGTGGGTCAAGAGAGGTCCACCACACCATGTGGGTCACCTGTGGGGCCGAGGGTCAAACTTGTACTGAAGTAGCTTTAGCTTCTTAGTGCTGTGCTTTAACCCACTGCACCATCAGAAGAGGGAGGGCCCTCTTCTGCCCATTTCAGACTGCTTTGTTTACTTTGTTTTTGTTGTGCTTCATTAGCTCTCCATAGATCTTTGTGATAAGGGACAGATCAGTCCCTTATCGTTAGTATGCTACTACTTTTACCTTTAAATTAGCCTGTGTTTCTCTGAAGCTCTCAAATGTAAAAGTGAAAACCCACCTTTACTGTGTCTTTCTTTTCTGGAATGACAGCAGATTTGTAATCTCGATGCTTTGGTAGTTTCTCAATAAAGAGCCTAAGGGAACAGATCAGAATAATTATGCAAAGAAAATTAAAAAAAAAAAAAAAAGACTGAAACAATACAACTCTCTCATTCTGCCACACAGGTGGGCTGGGCTTCTGAACTTGCAGGGAGCAGTAACAAACTATGGAAACCATGTTTCCCATCCATCCCTTTCCCTGTCGATAACAAAAGACTATTTCTCTCTCCTCCCAAATTGGGTGTGTAGCAGCAAGTATCAGACTCCTAAAACAAAAAAGAAATTCCTGTGCCCAGAAATGTATTTCCAAAGAGACTCTTTTTAAAATTATTTATAGAGGCATTATTAGGGGGAAAGAATGCCATGTTGCCGTATAACTGTGCCACTGGTTTACAATACTATATGGAACTTAGAAGACAATGTTCACACCTCTTCAGATCTGTTACCACACCACACATCCCACTAAAGTACAGCCCTCCACCACAGACCACCCCGCTCCCATCGCCTTCACCTCCACCTCCCCTTCTAGTAGTCTCAATTCTTCAGTCATAATTCTGGGTTTGTTTTGGTTTAGCTTTGTCTGTTTATTTATTTTGTTTCTCTAAATTGCACATATGAACTTATAATAGTTATTTGTCTTTCTCCTAATGCATTTCACTTAGCATAATCCCCTCTAGTTCCATCCATGTTGTTGCAAATGGCAAGATTTCATCTCTCTTTATAGCTGAGTAGTATTCCATTGTCTATATATACCATACCTTGTTTATCTCATCTGTTGTTGGGTGCTTAGGTTGTTTCCATAACTGGCTATTATAAACCGCAATGCACGAACACAGAGTGCACAAAGCCCATCAAACGAAGTTTTACATTCCTCGGATAAATACCAAGGAGTGGAACTGCTGTATGATATAGCTATTTTAAATATTTTCTGGTTGTAATGTGACAGGTTTTGAAAGGAAAGGTCCTAGTCACAGAACTCCAGAAAAGAGTTTGGCAACCAAATGCAAGAGGCTGAAAGAAAATTCATGTCACCTTACTACCTTTAGATCCTGTGTAACTGTGGATTACTTTTCCCCTGTGGGATTCATGTCCCTTCAAAGAAAAATATTCTCTACATCCACCAAACATTAAGATACTAAGACAGCACATGCATTAGATATGTACAGTACATGTTTGTTACGTATGTAATGCACATTATAATCTTTAATGAAAAGTTCTTAGAGAAACTTAAGATGATAGATTTTCTCTTTCAGTTCTTGCTCTTGGTTGTAAAGCCCAGAGGGAAACATAAACTGAACCAATTCATAGACTTCCAACATTTATGATTATCTTCTGAGGGAACAGTGAAAACAAACAGGAATTCAGTAACTTGTCACAGTCCAAAATGACAGAATCAGAATTTCAATGCCAGGAGGCTGGCTCCAGAGTTTACTTTTTAAGCCACTATACCATAGTGCCTCCACATGGCTCCTGGAATGTGTAGAACTGTTGGAAGACTCTAAACAAAGATGTTTTTTTAACAGAATTAAGTGGCAATAAATAAATTGAGGATAGCTTGCCAACAGTCCTAAAATACTATACTGTACTTGGGATAAACTCGTTCCTACTTTCTATCCATGAATATGAGTAAATGAAGCAGAAAGTCCAGTTCGGGGGAAAAGAAGAGACTGTCTATCAAAACAAACCCTCTATAGATGAGCCCTTCTCCTTTACTTCCGTATTAGGTACATGAAAATTTCATTTCAATCCAATTTGACAAGGCCCCTAGGGCACAGATGAATTCTGAAGTCAAAATGATTCTAAAAAATCTTCCCTTTGGGCTCATAAAAAAAGATTAAAAAAAAAAAAACCAGCTTCCTTGAAGTCTATTTTAAAATAAGTCAGGTTTATTTCTTTAACCATAAAATCCTGCAGAAAATATTAAGACAAATAAGATAAATAAGTCTCTTGTGACCAAGAGACTTATATTATAATGCAGGAGCTGTCTCATGCTGGCTCTAAAAACCAAAGTACATGTTTCAATAGGCTGATATGTTTTGTATTGAAGCCTTAATCACTCTAGAAAATACCATGTCATATAAACACCACACTTTAAGTTTGCTTCTGTATTCAAACTGTATAAAGCCTCTGAGGCCAAAGAGTTCTGTGTCTCATGCGTCTTTGAATACTCCTTGAAAACCTGTACTGTTGCTTGTATAAAGAGGCATTCAATAAAATGTCTTGTAACCTCTGGATGAGCTAACTTTAAAAAATGACAAAGCAGGGCCCTCCCTGGTGGCGCAGCGGGTTAAAGCACAGCACTGAGAAACTAAAGCCACTTCTGCATGAGTTCGATTCCCGCCTGCCCCGGAGGTGACCACATGGCGTGGCAGACCTCTCCTGGCCCGCCCACTGCTCCCCTCAGCAGTGTACTTCATCGATCTGCCTGTTCTGCTCCCCACTCTGTCTCTGGTGAAGCCTCTCACCACCCCTGAGCCTCTGGCCTGTACCCCAGTTCTGTATGTACAAATAAATAAATCTTTAAAAAAAAAAAAATGACAAAGCAAAAAGGTTTATAGAATAGGCTGATTTATACATAAGATAAGCAAAAGCATGGAAATATTTTACATACAAAAAACCCCACAAGAAGTATTATAGAACTTAGTAAATTAGAGGGCAGAGGAAATAGGGTAAATAAGACAAGAATGGGAGTGGAACTTTTCACCATACACCCTTTTCAATTATTTAGATTTTAATAGAATAGAATCTAATTTATAAGTAAAGATACAACTTCCAGACCTGTATATGAATTTTTCCCTTGCTTCAACAACTATGGTGAATTTTTTGAATGGGGACACCGGGAAAAAAAGGTCTTCTGAAAGCAGGGAATGGGCAGCATTGCCCCTCCCCCACACGGGAGGCAATGTTGCTCAGTGGTTCAGACAGAGGCTCTGGAGTCACCCGTTGGGCTCAAACCCAGGTCTGATCATTGACTCTCTGTGTGAGCTCGGGTAAGTAATTTCATCTCATCTTCCCTTTCCCCCAGTTTCTTTATATATGTATAAATTATATATATGAAAGCAAACTAGTATGAACTATCTAATAGGGTTATTGGGATGCTAGAAGAGATTTTTAAAAATAATAATAAAGAGCTAGCACTGGGCTTAGCACATAGCCAGCATCTGTTACATGCTTAAGATTTTTTGTTACTAGTGAATAAACACAAAAATGTGAGCAAAAAGAGATCAAGATGCTAACACCAAGGCTAGAAACATCATAGGTCTAGAATAGCTGTAGCCCAGATGTATACTGTTCTCTGAGGTTATATCTAGTTACAGCCCGGGGAGAGAAATGCACCAAAGCAAACAACCGTGCACTGGCAAAAACAACCTAACAGAACAATGGAAGAAAACAAAGGAAATACAAGAAAAGCAAATACAAAAAGTAAATAAAGATATGAAATGGAACTCAACTGTACTTAAAATGAAAGATATTAAATTAAGATGAGATACCATCTTCTTCTATCAAACTAGCAAAGGCCTGAAGACTGACTCTAGCCCCTATGTATGGGTGTAGGGAAATGGATATTCTATATACTCTTAAAAGGACTGTAAATTGAGAATTCTTTTTCCCTTAGAGGGAGGGAGGAAGGTAGGAGACAACTATTCAAAATTTAAAACATGGATATTCTTTAAACTCACAATTCCACCTCCAGGAATTTAATATAGAGATCTTCACACAACAGTACAGAAAAATGTATGAAACTATTCAATACAGCATTTTTCACAAAAGTAGGGAAAATTGAAAGCTTAAATGTCCTTCAATAGACAATTAATAAATTATGGTGCACCCAAATATCAAACCAACAGATTCATTCATTCAGCAAATATTTACTGCTTACAAATACACACATACTATTATGGGGTCCAGCATTATTTTAAAGACTGGTGTCAAAAATTCCTCTCCAGGGGCCCTCCCTGGTGGCACAAGGGGTTAAAGCACAGCACTAAGAAGCTACCACAGCTATAGCAGTACAAGTAAGATCTCTGGGAGGGAGGTGACCCACATGGTGTGGCACACATCTCCTGATCCACCATACTTCAGTGATCTGCCTGTTCTGCTCCCCACTCTGTGGTGAATCCTCTCACCGCCCCTGTACCTCTGACGTGTACCTCAATTCTGTGTGCATAAATAAGTAAATCTTTTTAAAAAATTCCTCCCCTCCAAAGAATATGCAATGGAACAAGACAATTTGTTCAATAAATGGTGGACTAAGATGAGCAAAAGAATGAATTTAGACCACTAACTCACACCATGCACAAAAATCAACTCAAAATGGCTAAAAGATCTGGACATAAGACCTGAAATGATAAAATACATATAGAAGAAATATAGGTAAAACACTACAAGGCATACATCTCAGTAACATCTTTAAAGACTCATCCCCCAAAGCAAAGAAAGTGAAGGAAAGATAAATACCTGAGACTACATCAAACTAAAAAGCTTCTGTACAGCAAAAAAGAGATATTAACCAAAACAAAGAGACACCCTACTGACTGGGAAAAAAAATCTCTGCACTCCATACAACTAGTAAGGGACTGATCATAAAGATATACAAAGAAGTCACAGAACACAACAACAAAAAAAGTAAATAACCCAGTCAAAAACTGGGTAGAGGAACTTCGCAGACACTTCTCCAAAGAGGAAATGCAAACAGCCAATAAGCATATGAAAAAATGTCCAACATCCCTTATAATCAAGGAAATACAAATCAAAACCACAACAAGAGACCACCTTACACCAGTAAGAACGGCACATATCAAAAAACTAGCAACAACAAAAAAGGAACTCTACTATATTGCTGGTGGGAGTGCAAATTGGTCCAACCACTATGGAAAGCTGTATGGAGGTTCCTCAGATTACTAAAAATGGAGCTACCATATGACACAGGAATGTCACTCCTAGGAATCTACCCAAAGGGCACAAATACATTAATTCAAAAGAATAGTTGTACTCCTATGTTTATTGCAGCACTATTTACAATAGGTAAGCTATG